TAACATAAGCTGTTTCATCTCTCCCCTGACACTTCAGTCTCTTACTAATTTATCAGCATCCTAAAGCCCTGTGTGAAGTTGCTGAAGAGCAGAACTGTTTCAGATACAAATAGCAATTGTTAGCCTCTTCCCTCTGGTAAATGGCAGCAGGCAGAAACCTCTCTCAACCTGCCAAGAACCAAATGTGGGACACAAGGAAGAATTATTGGTGCATGAAGCTTAAAGAGACAGGGGACTTATTCCTGTACTGCAAATAATGTGTTCAGTAATTTCTCTTTCCTGAGTCTGCATTTCTGGTGGAAATAGTTCACAACAACAAGCATGGGAAAACAGAAGGGATGTGTGTGAGATCCATTTGGATCTAATAGAAGAGATAAATGAAAGGTACAGGGGTTAGGGGAAAGGTAGAAAATCCCAGGAGGCAGAGGAGTGTTCACAGCAAGAGATGGAGAGTTAGAGCACCTGCATCCTGTCTGCCTGTTTATAGCAGGGATCTGGGGCTGCACAGCCTCCCTTGGATGAAACAGACCTTGCAGTATAATTTTGTGCAAAATCTATCACTCTGAGCTCTCCCACTGTATAAAAATTACCTTTTAAGTGGCTAAGTAGACATCCAGCTCTATTCTTTTCTTCTTATTTCAAGAAACAATGGGAGTAACAGCACTTGCCTGCCTTACTAGAGTGCTGAGAGCTTTAATTAATGTCTCTAATTCAATTTGAACTCCTTGGATAAAAGGCACTGCCTTGTGACAGCGAAGGTATTGCTGAAAATAGAATATAATTAACACACAGATATCAATCACAAAGAAATTAAGTGTACATTCAAATACAACTTGCACTTTACAGAAAATTTTTCCTCCAAGAATCCTGTAGACTCATAAGATAAGGAACATTTAATGTTCCAGGCTGAATTGGTATTAGAAAAAGGGCATCTTAAGCCACCTAACAAACTCCAAGGGGCTTTAAGAGGGATCTCCATATGCACTGGGGGATGTGCTTCCATGCTGGATGGTGCTGGAAAATGACTGTAGCATGACTCAGAGTCAGCACATCCAACATTTTCTTCTCCCACTGCTTGTTTGCTGTGAACTGGAGCCATGTCCTGGCTCACCCACGGATCATGTTTATTAACAGATGTGATGATTGCATGATCGTGTTTGTTGACACGAGCCAGAAGGACCCAGCTCCCTCCCTGCTCTGCTGTGCTTCTTTCTTGTGGAAATGGGCTGCAGAGCTGGGTTTTGTTCACTGCTGCCCTGCAGAGCTTGCTGAAATGGTTGGCATTCGCTGCAGGACAGAAACACCTTGGGAGCCACGTGGGCAGTGGGTTTGTGCTTTGGGAGGTGCTACAGCCCAATTCTGGCCTCCCCAACAAGTTATTGGTCTAAACAGTCCCACAAAGCCCATTGTGACTCCATGCTGATAACTGGAAAGTGCCACATGTAATGGCACTGCCCAAGGTCATAGAGGGAGTTTGGGACAGAGTTGAGCAAAACAGTGGATTCTTGGATCCAAACCCAGTGTCTGGCTCCCCCAAGCCTACACTTTAGTCCACAGGTTGCCTCTGTGCCAGATTTAGTTAGTTATTCTGGGGTCTCCCATCCCAGGGCTCTAGACTTGGAGGCATCCCCTCCCTGCTTCTTCCCTGGTTCCCTTTGCCAAATCCACAGAACATATTTCACATCAGTGGAGCCTCATAAAGACACCTGAAAGATTAATTTCAGATTCAAACTTGTTAGGAGGTTGATTGAATGCACCTCACAATATTGTCTTAGACACAAGGTAGTCCCACTTTAGTAAGCTTTATAGCTTCCATGGGGACCAGCCCTGTGGAGCGGATTAATCTTTAATGTGAAACAACATCTCTACAGCAGCTACAGGGGGGAAAAAGATACTACTAAAAAATTAAAGTTGATGGTGTGATAGTAGTCTGGACCCAGTTGTGCTCCACCATCCTCCATTGCCTCGGGCACCACTCCCTGCTCTCAGAACTGATCCAGGCAGCTTCCAGGCTGGAGATGTGATCATTTCTTCAGTGGTCTCAAGGCATGTTCTGCCCATATCTTACCTCCTGGATGAGAACATCACAGCCCAAATCATCCTGACTCCAACTGTGCCCCAAAGGAAAGGAAGAGAGGATGAAGAGTTGTGTGTGGGGATTTAGGGACTATCTTCTCTCTTTCACAAGCTGATATTTCCCCAATGTATAATATTCACGTGTAGGAGGACACACTGGGATTCCTCTGAGGCCCATTTTGTTCGGCTCCTCTCATATTTCAGTTCTCACTTGCACTGTGCTGGAAACTGGAGGGGGGCTGTCTCCCACTTGGGTACATAAGAGCTCCCTTCCTCTCTCTGCAACAGAAATTCAATAGACAGTGAAATATTTAAGGGAAAACTGATCCAGGCTGGCAGATGAGGGGAATAACTGTGGGTGAGTTTAATGAGCAGACAACCAAGGAAGCTGGGACGACATGTACAGAGCAGCTGATTGTAGTCTGCACACCCAGCTCATGGCAAATATGCTGAGTTTGCAGCTGATGGGACACGAACAGCCAGGCAGGGAGGGAGCCTGGGTGGAGAAGCAGTAGAAATGCACTTCTGAACTGGAATTTGGAGGTGCTGAGGGTGGGATGTAGCTGGGAGCTTTCCCCAGAAATCACCTTGGGCTCATGAGTGAGTGGAAGCAGGGATGTTCTGTGGCCCACTTGGATTGTGTTCTGTTGCCCTCAGGATGGGGCTAGAAACTCCCCTGTTTTGTGAGGTAAAGTGGAACCATTCTGTGTCTGGTGTGAGGGACTAAGCACTGAGAACTGCCCTGTTTAGGTCAGGGCAGTTTCACCCTGTTTAGGGGTGAAATAGGAATCAGTGGTGAAGGCTGATGTTAAAAACATGTCTCCAGAAAAGGACCAACAGGAACTGCAGGAACCATCAGGTTTAATAATAGTAATATTCCATCTGCAATTAGAAAGAATTTTATATGGGCTTAACAGAAAAATCAAACTTTGGCTGACTTTTCTATACCTGATTATTTTTTTCCCCATTTCTTCCTGTAATGCAACAGCTGAGTGTCATCTTTATGACTTACACAACTCAGTTCTGTAGAGTGCTGCTGAGCTTACTGCAGCTCCTCGAGCACATGCTGTGCCCACGTGCAGGCTCCCACTCTCTGGCACACAGAAAGGGCTCCTGAGCTGCCCAGCACATCCAGGGCTCCAGCCCACCTGCACAGCAGCTCTCACACTCATTGCCACGGGATGCAGCCCTGCCTTGCTCCAGGGAAAGCTCCTGGAGAGAGGGATGGCCACGCTGACCAGCAGCACCTCTGCTCTGTGCTCTGCTGCTCCCACCAGCCGAGGCTCACACACAGTGCTGGGAGTGCAGGTGCACCCCTAGCACACCTCTCCTACACTCCCAGCAAAATCTTTTCTTTCTGGGAGTTACAAACTTTTAGAGGACTCAGGCTCAAAACCAGAAAGTTTTCTGGAGATGTACAAAGAAGCCTGACGTGAAATCTCACTGTGGCAAAGCTTTGAGTAGCCTCATTTCTCCTGCTTTAAAAAGAATCTGCAGTCTCTCTGCACTGTGTTTTACAGAAACAGGTGGGTATCACCTGTTCTGAGCACAGCTTGTGCTCCCAGAGTCAGGGAGCAGCCTCAAGATCACTGCCAGCCCACACTGTTGGCACACCCTCCACAAAACCCAGAAGGCAGGAGGAGGAACCAGCTGTGAGCATGGAGAGGACTTTTTCCAAGCAGCTCCCAGGGGCGAGGAGCACAGCCCAACAGGCTGAGCTGCTGCAGCAGCCACATTGTGCTGGGAGAGCAGGAGGGGACCATCCTGGGTGGGAGGTGACAGCTAAGCAGGCCCCTCACCTGCCACCTGGGGCACAGAGCCAGCAGTGCCACGGTGCCAGCAGTGCCACGGTGCCAGCAGCCTGGCTGGGAGGAGGATGAGCCAAGGGCTGAGATGCTGGGAATGGGAGTCAGGAGAGCAGGGCTCTGTTCCAGCTGTACCCATGGCTTGCTGTGTAACCTTTGGCAGGGCACCTTACCCCCTGATTGCCTTCCCACTCATCATATGTCTTGTCACATGCCTGGGAGAGGAGCTGGCTGGCACGGGGCTGTCCCCAGCCTTGCTTTGCTGCTCTCCCACCATGGCAGTGAGAGCGTGCCCTGCTCCAGGTGCTGGGAAGGATCTCCCCAGCTGAATGTGCATGTTCAGCTGTCACCCTGCAGAGCCTTGATCTTGGGAAGAGCCTCGAGGTCCCCCCATAACTGAAATAGCAACAGACCCCATCCCCTGCACCACACACACTTCCCCAAGTCCCCAGCAGGAAAGCAGGGTGAGGACATTTTTATCTGTCAGAGTTTGGCAGGATTTCATAGTTGTGTGTGTCTGTGTGTGCCTGCGTGTCCGTGTGTGCTCGTCGCCAGACCTGGGTAATTATTTTGTTTTATTTCTTTTTTTTGGCAGCACTTAAAAGTAAGAGCTGGGTCTTTATAGATTGCTCAGGTTGCACAGAGTATGGATTACAGATCATCAGAGAGACATGAAAGCAGAAGACACGTTTCTCTGGCACAGCATTAAAGGGACAATAAAGGGGTAATTGTAGCCTAGGGTGCAGCCACCTCTTGTGCCTGGCCTTCACTCGCCTTTGCAGCACTGCGGAGAACTTCACGAGGGAAATGATGGAGGAGCTGGGGTGAGGATGTCTCAGGTCAGGACCTGGTTATTTCAAAGGTGGTATATGCTCAGGAGGTTAAAGGCACCACTTAAATACATGAATAAAACACTGCCAAATACTCTAAGGTGTAACACAGGCAAACCAAAGTCTTTTAATGCTTGATTTTTCACATCTGTTTTCACCTCGAGAGAAGGCTGTCAAAGGATCAGAGCATTTTTAATCTCTCTCTTTCTCTCCCTCCTCCCTCTCCTCCCCTCCATTTCTCTTTCTCTCTCTCTCTCTCCTTCCTCCTATCCCCTCTCTCTTCCAACAGGACTCCACAGAATGGAGCAAGAATGAGAGGAAAAAGGCAGACAGAAAAGCATGAACTGGAGGCTTGTTGAGTTCCTCTACCTCCTGTTTATATGGGACCATATACTCATACAGCCCTCCCACCAGGACCCAGCTGCTACCAACCAACATGTCTCCAAGGAGTTTGATTGGCTTATTTCAGACAGGGGGCCTTTCCACCACTCACGGAGCTACTTATCCTTTGTGGAAAGACATCGTCAAGGATTTACAACCAGATATAAAATATACAGGTATGTCACCTCCTGCGCCTTGGATGAGTTCTTGGGTGCTGGGAGCTCTGCCAGCTCCCATGGGCTGCAGGCTGGGAGTCAATGGGAGCTGCACCACTGTCCCCATTCCACCTGGAAATGCTGCTTTGGTTCCCCCCGGCCCCCAGCTGGCAATGCAAATTGCTTCAAAGGCTGGGGTGGAGCGCTCTGATAGTGAGATGAAGGCACTGCAGTGTCACGGCAATGTGCACAGCACAGAGTGAGATGAAAAGGAGCTGAGGGGGTGGGTGTTCTTCATTCGTGGTGACAGACAGTTCACAGGCAGGTTCCCAAGCAGCTTTTTCAAATCAATGGAGCTCTGGACAGCCCAAGCCTCTGTACCAAACTCATACATGTGAACTGCCAGTAGCTGCAGGTTCACATAAAGATGTCACCACGCACATCAGAGTGACAGTTCTCACACTGCTGTGTAGGAGCCTTGGCTGTGTGCTGCCTACCATGGATCCTTGAGGATTTATCTCCATGTATAAGTTGGACTTGGCCCAAGAACTGTGATCTTGATTTAAAAAACTGCAGAGAGTTAAAAAAACCTACAGAGAATAGGCAGAATTTGGATTTTATTTTGCCTTCTAGGTTTTAAAGCCTTAGTTGTTGCTTGTTTCAAACTCTTCTTGCCAGCTGTGCTATCTAGAACCACCCTTTTTCCTCCTCATTTTAATCTGAAAAGCTGGGGTGCTCACATGAACGCCCTATTGAAGCAGCAAGCACTTTGGAGTGAAGGGGAATAAGCCAGCAAGTGTCAGGAGATTTGTGCTGAAACCCAAAGAGACTGAAAAACTCTCCCAGCCACGTGTGCATTTACATAATTATATGGTCCTGTTGTGCTTCAGAAAGACACTTGCAAACACAGCCATGCAAAGTGGTGGGCAGGGAAATGCTGGTGAGCAGCCCGTGGCACTGTGCACATGGAGCCATGGACATGGGGAGGGGGAATTACAGGGAACCACAGGGAATCACCTGTGTGCAGGGAGTGTTGTCCCATGGGCACGGGGTCAGAGGCAGAGCAACAGAGATTTGTGAGGCATCAGCTCTGTGTGGGGAAGAAAAATGATTTGTTCTTGTCCTGCAGCCTCCAGGGAGTGCAGAACCCCCTCCCCTTGCAGCAGCAAGGGCAGGTTAAAAATATTGTCCTGGCTTGTCCTCTTCAAAACAGTTCAGGGGGAAGACAGCCCCAAAACCTAAAAGCTGTGCTGCTTTGCTTCCGCTGGTGAGGTCTCAGTGTCTGTGCACAGAGCAGCAGAGAAGATGCCTTTTCCCAAAAGCCTTTTTCCCTGGCTGTGCTCTGCCCAGCTCCCCTCCTGCCCTGCCTGCCAACACACACAGTGACCCAGCCTGCAGATCCCTGCCCTGCTCCTCGCCTCTGGCACTGCCTCTGCCCTTTGCTAAAGAGCTGTGCAGCCCACGATGCCACCACGGAGTCTGCAGGGGCTGGAGGGAGAGAGCCACACGATGGATGTGTTCAGACATAGCTACGAACTGTCACTGTGGGTCAGGCCACAGATCCATCAAGCCTGGGATCCTGTCTCTAAGCATCAGGGAGAAACGGGTCTGGAAGGACCTTGAGAGGTCATTTAATCTGTGCCTTTTCCCCAGGGCAGACTCAGACATACCTGTGTCACGTCTGCCAGAGGTTTGTGGGGAACCTGGAAGGTTTCCTGTGATGGAGGATTCACACCCTGAGCAGGCAGCCTGTGCCATGGCTGTGCCTCCTCCACTTTTATAAAGGAGCCAAAGTCTTGTTTACGTGTGAAGCTTGTGATTTGTTGTTTTATCTGTCAGGGGGTAAGGAAGAAATTCCCTTTTGGTTTGTAGGAAACTAAGATGAATTTGAAGTGTTACCTCAGTTCAGGATGAACTTTATCTATGGGAAGTGGAAAGGGATCTATTTTCTCTGTTTCTGCTAAGTGTTGTTAAACCATTTATGAAAGACATGTGGAGCAGGTGGAGAACACCACACCCTCCTCCCAGCACGGGAGGAAACAGGCATCAGCATTCTGTGGGCATGGCAGGTGCCTGAGAGGGGTCTTGCAGATAATGAGCATGCTGGAAAAGTCACCATTCCCAAAAAACCCCTGGAAATAAGACACAAATCCAGTGGAAGTGGTTAGGGTGAAAGTTTAGAGAGGACTGCAAGGGTACTGAGAGCATCTCATGGCCAAACACCACACACTGAGCTGAAGGAGGGGGCTGAGTGCTTGGGAATGCCACTCATGTGTGGTGCTTGGAGCTGCTGGGAGCTGAGCACCTTGGAAATACAGGTCTGGGACAAAGCTGCTCCCACTGTAGTCAGCTGAGGAAGAGGGAAAAGCCTCACGTGCTCCAGCAGAGCAGATGGAATAATCAGGTGGGAGTCTGGCTGGATGCTGGAGGGCTGTTTGTTTTTAATATCTGGCCCTGTTGGCAGAACTGGTCACTTAAAAACTGAGCCCATGCATTTTTAAAGGGATATCAGACTCAGCCTGGCTATGGAGAATTAGTGGAGCCACAGCCAATTCTCGCAGTTAAGAGCTAGACTGTGCACACACTCTCCCAGAACATTCCGTTTTACTGAAACCCACAGGGGTAAAATCTCATTTTGTGGGCTCCTTAAATTGACTCCGAGAATCTGTAAAGCTGTTGGGATTTTGTCAACTGTTTAATTCCGACAGAGAAGCCTCTTTCCTACCAAAAGATGTCTCTCAATTGCTCTTTGCACTAGGCTAGCCCAAGGGAGGCACATATCCTGCATTAAGGATATCAATCCTTCCCTTAGAAAAGCAGCTGATATGGAGCATGGGAATTTTCTGTGCAATCTTCTCCTTCAATGCCCCTTTCCTCCCATACTTTTTTAGGTTGGCTGGTTTTTAGTTTGTTGCTCTGTCAGGCAGTTCCTTGGGGCATGTGTGATTCTGCTGAGTGAGGTTTGGCCTGACCCCTGCTCTTCTCCCAAGGCTGATGCCAGCAGATCTCAAACCAGCCACAGTGACCAAGGGTTTGGAGAGGATGGGAAATCAGGCCAGAGGACTTCACCCAGCCCTAATGGAAACACTACTGGCTGTTTAGTGGTGATTTCCCTGGTGTCCTGCTGTGTGGGAACATGGACACATCACATTAGGGCCGTGTCATTTACGCTGGAAAACCACCAAGGCAAAGCCACTGGTGGTGCTAAGAGCAGCATAAGGCAAAATGCAGAATTTTCTCCTTTTTGCAGGTGATGCTAAAAAGGAAGGAACATAAAATCATGGAATAATCCTCTTTCTACCACTACTGAAGTCCAGAGCTTGTCAGAAGCAAGCACAGAGCCGGTTGCAGTGAGCAGGGTTATTTTATATTCTACATAAGCAGAATTGCTGTAGAACCTCAGAGCTGATGATATCTTTCATAGGAAGTCTGGATCCAGGTCTAGCATGGACAGACAGTTCACTGTTACAACCCCAAAAGTCTTGTTACCTCCTTGCATGCGTTTCATTTCAGTGGATTTTAGATCTCTTTCTTGTAAAACTTGGATTTTCCTGGTACCTCAGTCAAGGCTTGCACCTTGCATGTGGCATTAGGAGGAAGGCAGGCAAAGGGGGAGATGTTTTATATTAAATCATGAACAGTAGGAGTGGATACAATTGCATTAGGGAAGCACATTAGTCAGCATTGATTCATACTAATAAGGGTGGTTTAGGGGGGCCTCTGGCAGGAAAATGCTGCTTTGATCATTATCTGTGCACACTGGTGCTAATGCAGATAGGATGGCAGATGCTGAGAGTGGTTTGTGGGATGTCTGAATATTCATTATCACCATCCTTGTTGTTATTCCTAGTCATGAGAGCCTGGGGTACGAGGTACTGCAGGAAGGCTGGAGAACAGATGAAGCTCAGCTTGGCTTTGGGACTGGGGTCCTGCTCAGACCAGAAAACATCCCCGTTACCACTGAACAGTTAACAGCTTCAGCCCACTGCTTTGAAGTATGTTGTCATGTTGTCCTTTTTTTCCTCTCTTCTCTCAGAAGTTATTTAGCTATAAGGCAAAGCAAAAAGTGGGCTGAGCACTGGAATGCTCCATGCAAATTGCCAGGCAGAGGCACTGACAGGAATTTCCCTGATGATGCTGCTCAGCTGAAGCAAGTTCTAGAAAAAACAAAAAAACAAACAAAACAAAAAAACAAAAACAACAACAACCAACAACAACAAAACCCCAAACAAACAAAAAAACAAACAACAACAACAAAAATATTTCCTTAAAAGAAAAATAAAAGGCTTTGTTGTTCAGTGTCAGAGGTGGGAGGCAAAGAGGGATAAGGTGAGATGGGCTCATCCAGCTGAACAGAGGCTGCCACTGCCAGTTCTGTGGAAAACAGGGACAGGACACAGAGCTTTGGAAAGGGGAGCCCGCAGGTAGAGTGGCAGAGAGGTGACACAGGCAGGATCTGGATTTTTGCCCCAGGCTCGTGCTGTGGCTGTGGGTGAGCTCATTTCTGCGTGCCCCAATTCCCTCCCCACCCCCTGAGAAGGGGAGATGAGGAGATGACAGCACTTGCCTGCTCTGCATTGCTGGGCAGACTTAATTAAAAGCTGCAAGATGTTTGGACAGAAGGGACAGCAGCAATATAAAATGGATGATCACACGGGGCTGCAAGTGGAATGTGCATGTGCAAGAAGAAATGCGTATTTTCCATGCGTAGGAGATTAATTCCATTTTCTGAAATGACAGTGGGGATGGGAAAATCTGGCTCTCAGTGTAAGAGAGCAGGGAAACCCTGGGGTATAAAAAGGAGATCTGCTCACCTTGTAACTTCTCCTGCAGTGGGACCAGTTAGAGGCTGCCTAATTTCATGAAACCTGCAAATAAAGAATCCTTCCGAGACCTCTGTCAGGTCTGCTTAAAATACACCAGCAGATTCAAAACTTAGTGGGGGAGGTGACACCAAAGCCCATCCCTCCCTCTGCAGAGTGACAGGACAGAGCCAATTGCTCACCTACACTTGGTACAGC